TCTTACATGATTGTCAACTCTTCCAGTTTACGTGCTGTTTTGTTCCGTATCGTTTCAGAGCTGTTAAAATGCCTGAGTGATATTCAAATCACTAGCCGGCTAAATGGATGCCATCTTTAAATTATGTTTTGCAGACGAGGCATAGAAATAACAAATATAAGAAGCAAAAATATAATATCTGCTGACTGTTTCTTAATTCCTCTTTCAAATACATAGGCTACATGGTATTTACTTTCAAAAATTAAGATTGTCTACATTCTAGATTGCAAGCTTTTCGAACTCAAACAAAGCACTATCGATGCGTCGTAGCACCTCAAAGAAGGTCGACTTTGAAGTATCTTAAATGAGACGATTGGCCAGAAATTCAAATTCTCCCTTCAAATGACCTTGGATTTTGCCGTAATCGCCAAATGGGAGAATGATTTTTCCAAGTTTTTTCGCATACAACAGTTCCGCCTTGCAGTAATCGCTTTGAAAGTATTCCTCATTGAGCCAGACTAGTAAACAATCGCATTCTTCGATGGCAACTTTCAATGCTCCTTGCAATTCAGTGACCATCGGCATGTCTTCTTTGTCAAGCCATGTTCTATAACCAAGAAATTTGAGCCCATTGCGGAAAGTTTCCATTAGCGCCTTGTCCTTCGATTTGTGGCTTAAAAAGAAGCTGAATTGGGGGCTGAATTTAGTGTATTTGATCTTTCTAATCACCAGAGGCACGATGTTATCTTCAAGGTACTTGCGAAGCCTCTCATTATTTCCGACTTGGTCGTTTATTCGTAGAAACTCGGGCCTATTTCCAAGCTCTTCGTCCATGTCGAAGGAATCCATTTTTTTCTCGTCTGTTATTCCCAGGTAAAAACATTTAATAATTTCCATTGTCCAGGTGGGTCTACCAATACCAAAATATTTGAAGTTCGTTAAGCGAACCTCGATTCCCTTTTCGAGAGCTAAGTCAAACGTAAAAACACGCAACCAGAATGTAGTTCTCCGGTTGGGCCCCTTGTTCTCCTTGATTTCGATGTTGTATTTGTTCAGATCTGACTTAATGTATCTTGTATTGTACGTGGAGAGGTCGATTTTGCCTGCCATTGCCGAACAAATACTTTGAACGAAGTGGTGGAGGTGTAAACGTGAGTTGCAGATCACAGGAGCTCCTAAGGTAAACGGAAGTAGATGAATTATTCAAAACCAGGCTAAAGAACAGTTCAAGAAAGAGAGGAGATTGGAAACTGGAAATTGTGGGGATGGGGTGGGGGGCGGTGAGGGGGAGGGGGTGGATTCTTCTGAGAGCCCGCACAGTCGGCAAAGCTGCGAGGACACGATGTTATCGAACCAAAAGTTGAAGTCAACGTATGTTTACCCTTCCGATTTGAGAAAGACAAAAAAAGCGGCCATTATAGTGACATACTGAAGAAACTGTGCCCTGGAGAAAAGAAAATGTGAATTACGGTCACTTCGCTCCATGGTTGGATCACTCCAACCAAGAGTTACATCGCTTCACAATTGAAGTTACTTCGATCCATATAAAAGTGACTTCGCTCCATACAGAAGTGACTTCGCTCTATGTAAGACAAGTACGATGTTGCCAACGGAGACAATCGTCGCATTGGAGGCCTTGCGTTACGGGTCGTGGCGTTACGTTGTAAGGTCACTAACGCAAGCGTTATATAGAATATTTTAAGGTTACACAAATAGCTTGGTTGAGGTTGCATTTAACGTTTACAAATAAACAAGTCTGAAAGGTTCAGTTTGTGCGTTTCGGGTGTTGTACTAAAAATTGGTTGATTCCAGTCGAAGATTGCAATAAAATTCCTATAATCGTCAAACTTACACCGCGGAGAAAGTTGACAAGATCTTGCTTTACCTGTATAACAATGCCGGTGAGACACCGAACTGCCAATAACATTTAATTAAATAGACAGTTTCTCGCAAGTCTTCCTATTTCAAATTGGTCCCACTAAGATACTTCATACCTTCCTTAGCCATGCGGTTTCCTTTAACAATAGTCTGATCTTCCTCATTTCTTTTTAACGTTCAATCTGTTCTCAGTTTCTTTCACTCCTTAGACACACAGACTCTCCCCGCATTCACAGCGCTGGCACCTCTTATGATTTCCCTTTGTTTAATTTCCTCTAATCTCTCAAACAAAATTCTTGCTCTAAGGAATCTCTTATCTTAACAAGTCTGCAGCTGTTGTTATAATGATTTTCTTTCTTTTTAATGCCTCATTTATTTGCAATGTTAAAAAAATTTGTATATCTTACACATTTTACTTCTCAGCAAACTGAACCAGTACAAGCAAAGTGTGAAACTAGAGATATGTACAAATGATAAATACTCTTGTTTATGTTTATGTCTATGCCCTACAACTACTTATATTTTCATGTGCCTTAAAAAAAAAAAACAAAAAAAAAGTGACAACAGAAAAAAAAAGTTAAACTTGTAGTGTTACAAGGAAGTAAGGATTCTCTGTGCAATTAACTCATAACCCTGTAACTACCAAGATCTGATTGTTAATTCTCCCCTCTAGCTGCTACACATTTCCTTGTAAATTAGTTACAAGAATTTGGTGTTAGATCAAGGTATCAACTTCTATCTGATGAGTTTGAGTATTCTCATTACCTGTTTACTGAATAATGTATGGACATTATGGAGAGAAGTTGCATGTTAATCACTTCTGGGAGTTAAAGGTTTAAACTCTAAGAGTGACCAGCATCTAATTTCTCCTTAAAGTAATACTGCTGAATCAGTTGTTAACATCATCAGAATAAAGGAACTGACTGCCAACCTAAGATGCTTTGATCATTAAAGGAATTCTCCTTATCAACATCTAAGGAAATGTGTAGAGAAAAGTACAGAGAATGTGGATACCAATGTTAGAGTAGTAAAGGGTTAAAAAAGGTGTACAAAACATTTTGTGCTTTGACTGTACATTGCTGAGATACAAATGATTGTGGGAATGATTTATAGGTACAGTATATACTGTTCACGAAGTATGTGACTGGTTGGTAGGCAATAACTTACAAATCAATCTCTGGCCTTGGGCCACCGTCTACCATGTTACTCTGCTGTTTTTATTGAGAGGTTTGTGACTTTAGAGAGGGGGTCACATGAAACTTAAAGCCATGCCCCTTTTAACGGGAACAGTTTGATTTTGTTCCCAGACATAGGTGTTTGCCTTTATTAGGGCATATTCAAGCAAAGTGATCACGGATTCACAGCCATCTTGTCCACCTTGCCAGTCTCAGTTACTCATTAGGCATTTTAGTATTGCAGTTTCCATGATAAACATGAATTGGCCCAGAACAGTTGTGATATAAATTAAACACTTTTTCATATCCATGATTCCTCCACCATGTACAAAGCTGACGATTCCAAGAACAGGGAAGGACATGGAAAAACTCAGGATAATCTAAGTTGAGCAATGAGTAAAAATCTTGATCTCCAAGATGCCCTTGGAAGGTATACTTGGTTGCTATCTCCTTCACTACATTGTTATTGAGAAGCTGGTTATACCTCTTTGAGTCACGCATCTTTTGTAAGTTTATTAACATGACACCACTGTTAAAACCTGTTGCCCCATCTGGTGGTGGTTCTCCAGCTTTTGCACCAGGATGTCCATCACGATACATGTGCAGAATGTGTCTGTAAACTGGCTGCTGCTCTCTTGCAAGGCCAAAAATTGTGGTGGCTTTAAAATTATCAAATATTGCAAACAGTTGCTTGATGTCTGTCTGGAAAAACAAGTCAGAGTCCAGTGATATGATGTGTTTCATGGTCTGCGGCAGCACTTGATGTATGGCAGTGGATACAAAGAATAAGGGGTGACTGAAGTAAGAACGAGAGCCAGTACTGAACAGATTCTGTGAAAGAAATTAAGAAGTTATCAGTAATTCCTAATTCCCATTACAATTGAGGTTTTATACTCTTAAGTTTTCCATAATAAAATATTGTGAGTTAGAATTTGACTCTGCCAGCCTCACCCGTACAATGCCAAGGAAAATCAAAACGAAAGCTGACAAGTGTAGGACCAAACAGATTGACACAAGCGAGTCTGGAAACAGATGTCAAGCCCTGCACTTATATGGCTTTGTTTAAAAAACTTAAAGTAAAACAGAAATGAGGAAAAAGGTTAGAAAAGTTTTTGTTGCAGAATCTTTTTTGTGGTTGTCCTGTTCATGACATCTCTTACCTCCTACATGAATTTTAGGTTAAAACAAAATTTTCCAAATTTTAAACTCACCATGGTCATATGATGAAATGTGTATTGACTGAGTTTAGCCTAGCTGCACAGGAAAATATTGGGCTCTCAATCAGCAGGGCTGTGGTCTAGTAGCGTCCGGTTGCCCCTGGAGCTTTA